ACATTATTTTCTCTAACAATTCGATATAAAGCTGTCATTAAAATGATAGGCTTTGAAGCTAGAACAGAACCTTTTACAGTTCATCAAATTTCTAGAGGTGTTCGACGCCCAGACAGAGAACGCGCTACGTGTGACTAAGATAGCTATTGTACAGTCTGCTAAACAAGTTATTTTAAATAGTTTTTAATATTTTTAGGTAATTAAATTTTAAAAGTGTGGAAAGTTTAGGGATTAAATTGGTCTGATTGGACTTTCTTAGAACGTTTTTAAAAGCAGCTAAAGATAGTATGTAGAATTGAAAATAATTATTATGCCATAAAAGGTGTTTTGGAATTCCTTCAACCTTTTGAAATTGAGTCAGAAAATATAAATTTTATAGGATAGCGGAAAATACCTATAATTTTTTTGTAGGCCTTTGTAAATCGTGGAAATAGTTTATATTTTATTTCTACCTTATTAAGGAAAATGGTACCTATTATTAATAACGGTTGTTTCTGAAACATTACTAAAATTTTCGAAATTTTGTTTTTCTACAAAATAATAAACTATACAATTTAGAAAAAAATTTATTTCTCTTATAATTTTATAAAAAATAACAGGGGAATATTTACATTTCTTGATCTATTAAACAAAACGATAAATTATCTCGACGAATGACACCATGTTCTAGTACGGAAGCTAGTTACATTTTTGTTGGTGGTTTCATGGGTTTCATATCAATTTTTTGTAATTGTAGTTTACACGTACATATACCTCTTAACACTAGTTTGCTTTATTAAAAAAGTGTGTTGTTGTGATTTACGTCGAAATAAGTCAAAAACAACTTGAAACCCCATATAAAATCAAAAAGGAGAAACGGAAAAAAATTGAGCCTGTAAATGAACACAACTCAGAAACAAAAATAGCTATCTAATAATAAAAAAATAAAATTTGATTCTTGTGCATCTTCGTTGTAAAAATAGATAATACTTTTTTGATCTTAGGTACAGATATAATAATTTTAATGGTCTTCCGAAAAACTTTCTTCAGTTTCCATATCAGATTCAAAATCAGTCTCACTGTCACTGTTTAAGTTAATTATAAATCTATCAGTTGCCTCATCCAAAGTAACTTCTCTGTCATAAAATTTAGATTCCCACATTTTAGCATTATTACAACGAGATTGCCACTCCTCTTTAGAAAACGTATCAAAAAAGTCTTCACACAACATTTGTACGTCTTGCCTCTTAAATGTAGTGTTGTTACTAGCTACATATTGTTTCAATGATGCCCACACTAATTCGATCGGATTAAGATCCGGATGATACGGTGGCAAACGCAAACAACTAAAACCATGTTCATTTATCATTTCTTCAATTGCATACCTCTTAAATCGTGACTTATGCAATAGCACTAAACTGTATAATTGTGTTTTGAGCATATCCTCTTCGTAAGCAATATTATGATTCCTTAACCAATCCTGCATGTCAGCTTTTTTAGAAGTTGACGTTGGTGCTTTATTTACCTGGACATTATGGTAAGGAGCATTATCAACAATAATGACGCTTCTTGGAGGGAGGTTCGGAAACAGCTTTTCTTTCAACCATTTAGAAAAATTATTAAAATTCATTTCATCGTGGTAGTCTCCACTTTTGGTTCCAGATTTGAAAATTAACCGGGCATTCGGAATAAAGCCCATTTCACCTCCTGCATGGACAATAATTAGTCTATCACCTTTATTAATTGGTTTCTTTGATCCCTCATTTGAATTATCACTCCAAGCTTTCTGGTGTGTGTGGGAGGCATGAATGTATGTTTCATCTAAGTAGACAATTGGACGGCCCTCTGCTCGATAACTTTTTAAACGAATCAGATAGTCTAGACGTAGCTTTTGAATATCAAACCTTTCCATTAATATTTTTCTGTTTGTTTTTGTTTTCCGCCAACGAAATCCTAGCGACTTTATTATTTTTCTTAAACTTTCATAGCTTCCTTTGTACCCTGTAGCTTCTCTAAATTTAGTCAGAATTGTTTTTAATGTTGGAACAATATTTTCCGAGATTAACATGAACAGAATAATTCTTTTTAAAATACCTTTGTCAGCTTCATCTATATCATTAACTGTTTTTGGTTTTTTAATGGTTTTTCTTGGTGATGAAAATTCCGATATCTCACGGTTATCGGTTCTTTTTTTCTCTCCAGAAATGCGGACGACAGTATTTTTAGATACTCCTGTGGCTGCAGCAACACGATCATTTACATTTTTAAATGGTATTGAAGGTGAATTAAAGTTTCCTTCTCTTCTCATAAACTCTATAACATTGGCTATTAATTTGCTATTAAACTCCATACTTAGGTTCTATTAAACTGTAATGAGCAAAAAACACAAACGAAAATAAAAGAAATGTTTTAGCGAAATTTACATCTGACATTTACGTCTGAATAAAATAGTGAAATACTTGATGCGCAGAGTGTACTTTCATTGCGTAAATCCGTCGGCCCCGCAACCGACGCCTCTCAGTAGTGCTTTCTCTGTCTAGCCGTCGAAAGCCTCTAGAAATTTGATGAACTGTAGTCGAGATATTTAAAACATGAAAATATGCTTATTTGAAAGTTGTTATCCTTTATTGTATTTCTAAGACACAGTTTTTTTATAAAATCTTACCTACCAATTTTTGAAATCCAATATGTCCCTGGTTTCAACTTCTTTGACCGAAAATTTTGAATTCTTTTTGGTATTGGTAATAATAATTTCGGATAATTTTTTTGAAAAGGACAGTCCTTTTTTGAAGCTAAAATGTCCTTGTGACTTTTTAAAGCTTAAAATGTCCATTTTTACAGCAAATGTCTTTTTTTACGCCACAGATCTTTGGAAGGGACATGGTTTGTATAAAAATATATAAGGAGGACCTTTTTGTTTTTGTTTTAGAAGCTCAGTAGAATGATGAGGAGGATTTTTTCTTGTTACAAGCTCGGCGATTGTTATTTTTGGTCGTCGACCTTTGTTTTTAGTCGACGACCTTCTTTCTGGTCCACAACCTTTTTTTGTAAGATCACTAGGATAAGGACTATCTATACCGTTTTCCTGGAGTCAGGATGGAAAAGTTAAGTTAGTGTATGTTAGAAAATAATTATACAGACATTGGGGTCTATTCTGTAACAATTCCTTTAAATAGTGACCGAATTAAAGAAGAAAATATTTTTAAAGGCCGTTAAATATAAAGGAATTTTTACAGAATAGACCCCATTATCCCGAAAATAGTCAAAACGGATTCAGGGGATCCCAAAACGTAAAAATCTGTCGAAAACTGGAAGTCGAAAAAAATCATGATTCCTATACTTTCCTTATCTGTGTACAGATAGGAAAGTAAAAAATAAAAAAGTAAAACATTTACACTTTGCAAAATCAAAGCTTTGTTACTACTTATTATCTCACATCTAAGGACAAAATTGGTCCACGAATAACATTCTGTTTAGTATGCAAGATCAAAGTTTGAATGTCCAAATATTAATTTGTTATCTTTGTTGTTTTTCTTTGAATATAATTTAATATCTGTTGCGGAATTAGCCAAAGGAGTAGTTGTTTTCCGAAGGGAAATGATCGCTCATTTTATTTTGTAACACATGGCATAGAGAATTTCTTGTTTTCATTTATTTTACGTTTTGGTGACATTTAAGTTTGGATTTATTTTCCTTTTTTAATAAAATATTTGACTAGATGTTTCTGATAATAGTTTTAAATTTACTAAAGAATATGCCCATAATCTCTTAATTATTTTGATTGATGATTCTGAATGTACACTCAAGTGCATGCCATAGTACTGTGGAACGATATTTTAAATATATTTGAATTCCTTAGTTTTGTAGTTTTTATAAAAAACAAAATACTTTTAAGATCTGAGCAATCAATATTCCTATGTAGTAATTTACATACAAATTTTATATTTTTTAATATGAAAGTTCTGGTTAAATCACGTGATTCCAGATTTATTTTCTATAAAATATATTACGGCCTTGGATTGTTGTATTTATTGCATATGAAATGATATTTTAAATCTTTTATATTTTTATTTATTATTAATTAGTTTCAGAAAAGATTATGATGTTTTTTATTTTTAGAAATCACTTAAAACCTATAAAAAAGAAAATTAAAATTCTATTACTAATTTTTATGGTTATTAGTTCTATTGTTTAATTAAATCCTTAATATTTTCGAATTATGTTTAAGTGTGTTAGTCCTATCCTGTACACTTCAATATGTAATCAACACGCAAGCGCGTGGGTTGATTTTTTTAAAAGATGACTGCCTTTAATTCTACGTGCCTGATGAAAATGACATTTCCTCTAATCAATGACATATATAAACTGCTTATCCATCTGCTTATCCATTTGCTTATCCATATATAAACAAGATGGCAAAAAGCGGGTCATATTGCAGTGGTTCATATTACCTTGCCGAGAGCTCACCAGACAGAATCGGTTTGGCCCAAATGAGTTTAAAACTCATATTTCATCAAAGTAGGAATGGAAATTAAAAAAATAACTACCTGAATGTTTACTTTAAGACAGGAGCTGCGTTAGGTATTTTGAAAAAGAATATATATCTGTTTGAGTTGTAAAGTCTAGTTCCATATTTTAAAAATATTTTAAGAGATATAACCAATTTTGAACATAGATGTAAACAAAGTTACACTCCTATATAAAGATCAATAAGAGATGCATGTAAATAACTTTAGACCACTGTATAGTGACACTATTTGGATACTTGATTATTCTGTAAGTCCGCCATATTTGCAGATCTCCAAAGTTGCAGACGTGGTACATTTTCTGTAATTTAACCCTTAGTGTTATGACTATTGATGATAGTTTGATATAAATACTTGATTAATAAACCCCGCTTCTTATCAAATGCAGCTTACTTTGTTTTACTATTTCACAGACTCACCCTGTACATTTAAACATCAGATAGTCAAAAATTAAATTAAATTACTACGAAATCGCTATGCGCATCTAATTCTTACCTGAGGAACTGCTTGTGGCCTAAGAGTCTGCGAGTAAAGCGGACTCTGTTGCTGCAACTGTTGGATGTTCAAAATTTGCGGACGAGGCTTTTGTACGTAAGGTTGTATTCTCTGTTTATATGAAAAGTCACCTTCTGATTGCGGTAGAGTCTGGTAGACTTGATTGTTGTATTGTCCAGTCGCTGGATCGTAAACCAGAGCAGTTGAATAGATCTGTCCTGGATGACTACCTACTTGTTTAGGTCTCGGAGTTGTAGGTTTAACCGTGAAAGCTGTCGGCGTCGGTGATACGATGTTATTTTCTTGTTGGAATTTATGGAATTCGGATTCGAAGTCGTTTTTGTCGGGAGAGGCGCTTGGTTGTAAAGTGGACTAAAAAATAAAAGATTATATTAAGTTTAGTAATACATTTATATATAAATACATATAGAAAGAGTCACAGAAGATTTATTTCGCTTGTTCTAACTATTTAGAATATATCTGTTTCAGAAAAGTTTGAAGTGTGAGTTTATTTTAACTCAGAGGTCATTGAGCCAATAGTGGATTCATTATGTTAGTGTAAAAGAGACTTATTCTACCTTGTAGCCAATTTTATTAACTAAAGTTGTCTAACTCTTGCCATAAATAAATTGCTCGGCATATTTTACGTGTGGGACAGTCACATAATGTTTTTTCTATCTTCCTGTAAAATTGACATAGGAATGTATTTCAATCAATGACGCTCCACAAATGTTATAAGACCCAGGGAAGAATTAAGTCCAAAAATTCTAGACCAACAGTCTTTCTGTTCAAGCAATACCATTAAGAAACATTTCGTTTCTTCAGCCTATCATGCTTTCATACTAGTTACATTATTTACAATACCAGAAAATAATAAAATGCTATTCGTAACTCACCTGTAATTGCTTGGTGTATAAAAGAGAGTTAGGTCTTGGAGTTACTGCCACTTGTAGAAGCTGGGGTCTGTAAGTAGTTGCCGGTAATTGATGTCTCGGAGTGACCGCCTGGGTTACAGGCCTTGGTGTTATGGTTACGGGATGGGAACTAGTTCTATAAATTACTGACGACGGAGTAGTACTGGGCACGTGTTGTTGTCTATAGCTGGGGCGTTCTTCGGGCGCTGAAGCTGCTTGTTGGATATATTGTGGTCGGGAAATGTAGGTTGGGCGACGTACGGGCTAAAAATAGTAAAATAAGAAGACGAATTTTTTCACCTCTGGGTAAAGTTGAAAGTAACTACTTGCTGAATAAATTGTAGGACTATTGTATGTTAATCTGTCAAGTAAATCTACATGTAACTCTACTCAGAGGTAAAAAGATCGGTCCTTAGTCGGTTAAAAAAGCGTAAGCACGTTTCTATTGGACGAGAGTTTATATCTTTTCTAAATAACAATAAAAACATTTTAAAGATTTTTTTTTAAACAAATTTGACATACCTGTGGAGTCGCTCTCAACAGCTGTTCTGGTTCTGGTTCCTCTTCCTCTTGTGCGTAATTGTTTTGGAATAGCGTTACTGCAGGTTTTGGTGCAACCGTTGGCCTGCGAATGAGTTGAACTGGTCGCGTGGGATAGTTAGCTGGGACGTTTTCGTTGTCAGTTTCGTTTTCGGATTCGTCTTCTTGATCTTTCGGTGCATTGGGATCACAGGGATTTCCTGAGACGTACGTGAACTCTCTTTTGTTTCCGTCTGGATCTACGTATCCGTATTTTCCTCTTACTACGCAGTCGGTACCTGAAAATATATGTTTTAAACAGTGGCAGCTCGTAATATGGATAAAATATGGATAAGAATACCCAACCCATTCCCTTAAACTATACCTCCAAAAATTTATTTTTTTTGTTTTACCAATAAATCAAAAGATATAAAAATTTTAAGTTCTCCAAGAGTAGTTGATGGTTTGTTCCTGAATGAATTTATTTCCCTTAGTTTTTGGATATTAGTTTATATAGCAAACTGACCTTTATTTGTTTTGTCACCTCCTAAAATAATTTGTATTCCTTTTTGACTCATCTTGTATATTTTCAATCAGAAGTGTGTCTTTCATTTTAGTTAATAATATTAAAGATACGTAAATATAGAACATTATATTTACTATTATGTTTAGTAGAGTAAAAACAATATAAATAATATATAACTTAATTAATATAATGTTTCTATAAATGTAAATAAAGTAACTAACGATAATTAAATTAATTTACTGACATCTTTGAAATCGTCATAGATGATTCCAAGTAATCTAATTGAAAGTATGTATGTCATGAGCAATTCTAATAACATAATAAATAAAGTATAGTGATTACGACATACCCATTTTCTAGGGCAAATGTACGCAAAAATGTAGCAATATACGGTAATAAACATTTTTTTAATAAAATTATAAAAAAAAGCTCTGAGGAAGTTGACGTAGTTATTCGTAAATCATTATCTAATTTCAATCTATACTAAAAAAAGAGAAGTAATCGTGTTGTTTTAAATTACACATCAATCACATTCACTTTGTAGATTTAACAAATTCAGTTAATTGAATTAAACTATAAAGTAATTGGACGATCTTAGAACAGAAAAAATATTAAAACATTTTTTATCGAGTGATACGCAAACTAATGAATGGAGTAATTTCCTGTCAAAATGAGTCTACTACTGTCTCAAAAGAACTTGAATCCCTCTCATTTTATCTTTAGTTTTTGGTTTGACATTCCTCGATTCTTTTACAATTTGTCATTTATTGTAATTTTGTCATTAATTAAAATTTGTTATTAATAATTTGATTAAATTAGCAATGAAAAACTTGTATTATACTCTAAACTATTTTTAAATGATGGTAACTCATTTACGGGATTATTTTATTGTTTCTGCTTCCTCAACTCGGAAATTTAAAAAGTCAGATCATTCCATAATATTTACTCCTCGTACAAATATTATATCTAGCCAAGTTAGGTAAATACTTTGAATCAGCGATAAACTCGTTAATACTAAGAAGGTCTACTGGGAAGTCTAACAAAGCAGTTAAGTATTAATTCAATTAAATAAATCAGTGTCGTAGCGTGAGACAGGTATATGGTTAGTTGTAGTAGTTTATTTTTTTTATCATATTCTAATAAATTCGAGTTAAAACGAATTAAAATGAAACATAACACTTTTACGTTTTAATTACTACTAAATTTTTCTTAAGTTCTTTGTAAGCCCATTATGTAGTTACTTTTTTTGTTATTAATAGCTTAATGATAATATTGCTAGTTAATCTGTATTTTTATCGTCTAATTTGCAAATTGTTTAGGTTTTTTATTTTTCATTTTGTCAAAAATATTTTAATTTGATGAAATTTGGTGAAATTATACTTTTGAATGTCTTAAATAAGCAAAAAAAATTAAGGATTCAAAATATTACGAGATATAAATTTTTTTCTATTCAAAACACTTTAAAAATTTTAAAGAAATTCATTTTTTTTTTTTTGATAAAATAAAAATTATATAGTCACGATTAAAAACGGGAGAAAACAAAATATTACAATAGAAACAATAAATTATTTCTAAATTATTTAAATAACAAGTTATCGACAAGCATTTGTGGAAGGTCTATCAACAGGATTACGAGGACCAATTGGATTAGAACAACGACTAATTGTCGCCCATATAGGTAGTAAAAGTGGTTTTTTAAACGACAATGCCTTAGTTTTCTTATCTAAAAAAACGAAGATATGGACGCTGAACGCTTTGAAGGTTGGTTTGAAACCCTACTTTCACGAATCAAGCCAAATTCAGTGATAGTGCTTGATAACGCTTCTTATCACAGCCGCTTAGTGGAACTTCTACCCACTATGGTCACTAAAAAAGTGGTGATTCAAGGTTGGTTACGACAAAAGGTACGAGGATGGGGACTAAATAAGAATGTATTTTTCTACATAGTCGCCTTGTAGGGTAATACATTTGACCCAACGATGTTCAAGCGATTTAATACCGTCACTGTAATCTTATTTAAAGTCTGACGGGACTAGGTCTGGCGAATACGGAGGATGGTTTAACAATTTAAAGCCTAGCTGATGGATTTTAGCCATTACAAGGACGGACTTCTGGCAAAGTACATTGTCCTGATGAAACATAATTTTCTTTTTTGCCAAACCAGGGCATTTTTCGCTTATATTCTGCTTCAGCTGGTCCAGTAAGTCGCTGTAGTACTTGGAATTTATTGTTCTTCTCTTTTCGAGATAATCTATTAGGAGTATCCCCTTAGCATCCCAAAAGACCGTGGCCATAACCTCTCCAGTAGACGGTACTGTCTTTGCCTTCTTTGGAACTGGTTCGTTCTTTGCCGTCCACTGTTTGGACTGTTGTTTAGTTTCAGGGGTATAATGATAAGTCCATGTTTCATCAACCGTAATAAATCTACGCAAAAAGTCCCCTGGATCACGTCTAAACAGTGCCAAATTCTCCTCTGAAATAGTTAGCTGCGTGAGCTTCTGATCTGACGTGAGCCAACGCGGCACCCATCGGGCGAATAGCTTTCTCATACCTAAAACTTCACACAAAATATAGTGAACTCGCTCTTTTGATATGCCCACAGCCTCAGCTACCTCTTCCAATTTTAATCTGCGATCTTTTAGAATTAGTTTGTGAACGGTTTGCACCATTTCTTCAGAAGTTGCCGTTTTTGGCCTGCCAGAACGCGGAGCATCATCAGTGCTAGTACGACTACGTTTAAAGTCCGCTACCCAGGTTTTAACTGTGGTAAATGAAGGAGCAGATTCCCCTAGTGTAGCATCTAGTTCAGCACTTATTTCCGTAGGCGATAATCCTTTGATATGGAAATATTTTATCACCGCTCTTATCTCGTTTTTTTCCATCTTTTAAAAGTGGCGCACTTTGTAAGCTTTTAAAATATCCAGGATACAAACTACTTGAAGCACTCACTTTAAACTTCGAGCGTATACTGACGACAAGCAAGGCTATACAGATACGTTGGAACAGGAAAGCCGGAAACTTTTCATTTCATCCTCGTATTTGCTAATTTATCAGTTCAGGAGGAATATTATCAAATTCCATATAAGCATCATTAAATTCGCCAATTTTTGAATTTAAGTTCGACATAACAAACTTTATTCAGACCAATTCAAATTAAATACCAATACATGTGTAGAACTGTCTGTCATGAAATTTACGACTATGTACGTTGCGGGCGTGGTATTTACAGCCATTAGCCAGTAGCTATTAATTTATTAACTAAATTTAGTACTTAATTTAATATCGCGCCTTTCAAATGATTAATATGATCAAAGCTAAAAAGCTTTAAACCCTTCTTTTATTAAAAATTTAAATTACATATTAAATTTAATAACTTACCTCTAGTTTCTTCTTTAAAGCTACCATCTGCGGCTTCATATCCAAACGTAAATGAACCATCGTCATTCACTTTATTATAATTTCTAATGGTCTGCACTGGAGGTGCTTTGGCTTCTTTGGTTCTTCCTTCGTTAGCCCTTGACGATCCTCTAGGGATGTAGTTATTTTCAATACTTCTCGCTGAAGCTGCTTGTTGTCCATACAGACCATTATACCTGAAAAAGAAGAAATCGGAATTTTTATCGAATAATAATCAAAGTAGAAATAGAAGACAGAATAATAAATAGATATAAATTTTTACAATATACAACTATAGAGGATCAGCTAAATGGTTTGGCAACATTAGCCATTAAACATGAGCTAGGTGAAGAAATTGATGTCAAAAGAACTTTCAGAATTAAAAGTGAGAAAAAGCACTATTTTTAATGATTGGGTTTTTATTTTTAGTAGTTCCGCACCCAATCTACATGATCACATACACTTTTAAAAATACAGATATAGAAATTATTTTTGTCTCCAATTTACCGTCATTTTAATCATATGTTTAATATAAAAACAAAAATTAAATATAGTTTATATATTCTATAGAGCGTGAAGTTGATCTTTATTAATAAATGTTAATTATTAAAGCAGAATTATCTCATTTATATAATTTCCGCCTTTTGTTTTTTTGTAGACGGATTTTTACTCATATTAATTAATCCGTAATATAACATTAAATATTTTCAATTATGTCTTTCAATTCCCCCATGCATTTCTTCCGTGATTTTGTCAGAGACTGGGTTACATCATTTAGTTCTTTGATTTGAAATAAAATTAACAAACTTAGCAATTTCCGTCCACATCCTATGCACTGATGATACATTAAACTACAATATATGATTAACAAATTTAAAAAATGGTTTCCATCAAATAACTTATGTATAAATACCGAGAAAACAACATTTGTTCATTTTACACCTCGACCGATAACTGATGAATGCCATTTACTAAAAATAAATGGCAAATCCATACAGCAGAGCCAGAACAAAAAATTTTTGGGAATTCATATTGACACTTCGCTAACATGGATGCAACATATAGATGAAACGTGTAAAAAAGTGTGTTCCTCTTGTTATGCATTGATACGTCTTAAACAATTATGCAATGAAAAAATTCTAATTTTCTACTATTATGGTTTGGTATACTCCCGAATTAAATACGGTATTATATTTTGGGAATCATCGCCTCATTTAATTAGACTTTTTAGACTTCAAAAATGGTGTCTCAGAAATATCGCTGGCATTTCTAGATATTCTTCTTGTAGAAATATTTTTAAACAATTAAAAATATTAACGCTGCCCTGTAAATACATAGTGTTAAAAAAAGTGTCACAAAATAAAATGGTGAATAGTATGACCCAAAATAAGCAGAAAAGTTTTAATAAATATATGACCGCAAATTAACGGTTTCGGAGATACGGACCATTTTGTGTTTATAACAATTTTTTATTATTATAAAAAAACAATGATATTTATAAACAATCAATAACAACATAGAGTTAAATGAAGGGATGTGGCGATTAGGGAAAGCGTCGATGTACTGACGTAGCGCTTCCCTCGCATTGCCATTTGCACGACCGTACATAAAATGCATATCAGCTAATTCAATATTAGTGTAAACAGGCATAACGAAAATTTATAAAATTATTCACCCACAACAAAATAATAACTGCAAATAGTATCTATGAAAAAACATCGGTAGACTCCGATAAGAAAAGCAAGTTTTTGAGAATGAAAAAAGATAATCAAAAAATGATACAAAACACAAAACACTCCGTATCTCTGAAACCATTCATTTTCGGACATATGTTTATTAAGACTTTTCTGCATATTTTGGCCCATACTACCCCCCGTTTTATTTTGTGACATTTTTTTTAACACCCTGTACACAATGAGCATCATAAGTCTTACCCCCCCCCCCCCCCTAACTAACTCGTTACTGGAGTCTTGTTAGGAAAATCGCCGAGACAGGTCGAATTTTGATTTCTACAATGTACATTTTTTTATGATTAGTTTACCCTTAATTTCATCCCTTACTAGAGGGGAGCAACCCTTTCGAAAAATTGAAATGGCGTGGGGTGGTGAGTGATAGCTCATTTGAAAGAGGGTTTTATTCTCTATTCAACGGTGCAAAAAATTTTGAAATTTGCTTCTTTACGTATTGATTTATTAATGTTTAAAAATAACAGAACCTCACAAAATAGGAAAGCAACTAAACTAACAGTGACCTTCTAATGGCAAAAAGTCTTACTTTACGTCTGAACTAAAACCGAAATCATGCAGGGCCGAATTTTAATTCTAACAATGAGTACGCTACGTTAATTTCTGTTATTCTGAAACAACAATTAGTCGAGAATTAATGTAGCAAATTTCAAAATTTTTTACATGGTTGAATAGAGAATAAAACCCTCTTTCAAATGAGCTATCACTCACCACCCCATGCCATTTAAATTTTTCGAAAGGGTTGCTCTCCTCCAGTAAGGGATGAAATTAAGGGTAAACTATTCATACAAAAATGTGCATTGTAGAAATCAAAAAATCGGCGTGTCTCAGCGATTTTCCTAACAAGACTCCAGTAAGGAGTTAGACTTATGGTGCTCACTGTATGGTTGAACTGCTAATATACGTAAAAACCAATTTAAATATGTTTATGACAAATGCAGATATTCACGATTATGGCGATTCTTTAGTAGTTCCGGCTCACAATTTGACGTTATATGAAAGAAGTCCTTATTTTTTAGGAATTAAGTTGTATAATAAACTGGATCGGACTCTTAAAGAAATAAATATTCCTAAATACTTTAAACATAAAATAACGGACTTATTTTCAAAGAAAGCATTTTATACTGTTTCTGAGTTCCTTGATTCGTAGATAAATTATCTCCTACATAAATATTAAAATTATATTTTGTTAATAGATTTTTCTTTTTTTTTAGATTAGTATCTATTTCAGAATTTTAGTACTTTGTATTTTCTATTCTACCTCATTCAATTGTACACCATGTTTTGACTTTTCCCATACCTGTACAAGGTCTCTTGGAATTAAAGATTTATTTATTTATTATTTATTTATGAATAGATTTCGAAGTTTATTTTTGACTTATTCTGAAAGAAAAAAATATGTGCGTGTAGGTAAAGGTTAAATTTGTGTTCCTCTGGAGACACTTTTTCAAAATTTGAATCATTATTTTTTAAATACAGAGCTCGACTTTTTTACTCATTTTTTTAATTTTCTTCGAGTTATGAATACATAATTCCAGCATTCCAACTTTTTAATCTGTTAAGTAATGTATATTCTTTCGAAGTAAATCATTTTTCTTACTTTCGCGCGTGACTTTGATCTGTCGCACTCTTTAATATGCGTTGCAAAATAAGATTTTTCTAAAAAGTTTGCCAATGTCTATAGATGTGAAAAAAATGAAGGTGACACGAGATCAAGCTGATTGTGCATTGTAGTACAATGAAAGACGAAAACACTACTTCAAAATTTGGAGATATTTGTAAAAAAACGAAATATCTCCTTTAAAAAATCTCATAAAATCTTTTATTTTTTGCTAAAGCCAGAGCAAAATAAGATTTGGAAATTGATTTGAAAGAAAAAAGTTTTTAAATGTGGGCTTTTTATTGATTCCGAATTTGATTATGTTGCTGCCAGTCCGAATGGAGTTAAACACAAAAACAAAACTCTTACAGAGTTAAAATGTCCATATGGAGCTAGAATGTTGACTGTAGAAGAAGGAATATGCAGTAGAAAAATAACTTTTGGGAAAAGGACAATACCATTATGGAGAACCACACTTTGTGTTTTCACATTTAGAACTAGCTGCACATTACACAAATGAAGTTTTGCATTTTGTGCGTTTGGACTCCTCAAGAAATAAAAGTGGAGGAAATTCCTCATAATGAGAGCTTTTGGGAAGAAAAGATGCAAAATAAAATTCACTATTTTTATATGAAATATGCCTTACCAGTACTAGTTGACAGCAGAGCTATTAGAGATAAGATTCTGATTGGGATTAGTAGTTTTACTACAAAGGGTTTTGTGCCAAAGCTAAGTCATGTATCGCATCAATAGAAATTAAAAATTCACATATGAATCTTTGTAACATAATTATTTTTAACTTTAATGACTTCATACGGTCAAAAATTTTAGCTTACTTATTTAATTCTAAATATAAAATGAATTTCATTTTAAAAGTTCATTATGTTGTTTAGTTGTTGCAACTTTACTGTGTTTGAGTATCGTTCAGATAAAAATATTAATTGATTTATGGAGCTTAACTGAAAACCAGGAACTAATGCTTTTATTTAAAAGAAAAGGTATTATGGTCAATAGAAGGAATTTCGAATTGTGATGTCTTCCAGCCGGCAGTTCAAGTTACTTGTTATCTCTGAACGTGTGTTTAACATTATTTTATTTTACTTTCAGTCTGATGTTAGCTTGCAACTAATAAAGTCATAAAAAAATATTGCACTTGTTGTTTAAATAAAAATATTTTTTTTTAAACGATTTTTTAAATCGTATTATATTTTTGGCGCAGTCAGTAGGATTGTCATGAAAAATCCAACGTGGATAACTTTCGCTATTTTAATAGTTAAATGACAATTACGAACTTTCAACGTTTCGCACAAATTTTGAACTTTCCATCGCAAGAAAAGTTTTGTGGTGCTACCAAAGAATTGTACTGGAGATTTTCATGGTTAAGACGACAGTCAGCCCTTCGATGTAAACGAAAACCGAATTGTAAGCTTTATTTTTCTTTTATGTCAGGCTCCTCTAACATCGATTCCCTACCCTTCAATGATCACAGATCGGATTTAGAGCTAGATTTAGTAATTGAAAGTTTCAATTCAATTAATATTAACGATAATAATTATCTAAATAATTTTAATAAAGTGACACATAAAATCAAAAATCAAAAAGATCCGAAATCATTAAAATAATCTTTTCTAAAAATAATTTAAAAAGACATTTATCTAATACAAAAATGTATCATTACAGCCTTCTCCTCACCATGGCAGGAATTAAAGCAGACCAGGAAATTAGAATCATGTCTAGAATCCAACCCTGGAATATTACCCTATAAATTGGGATATGCTAAATTACAATCCACATACCATTCTTTTATCCATTATTTTGATATAGACCCTATTGAAAGCGAGCTTATTACAAT